TTAAAATGTATCAGGAAATAATATAAATGAGAAACACCTACCTGTAAGTTTTCCTTTAAATAATTTTTCAAGGTAACTTCCAGGATAAACTGTTCCCCTCTTGTGACAGAATACGGCATTTTCAGTTCAACCACAAAAGATTTGAATATTGATAACTGCAACAATTAGTCACAAAAAATATATATTTATGCATGAGGAAATAAATACATGGGGGTATAGTAATGAACAATAGGTGGAAGAAATTCTACCAGGGAGAAGGAGCTTCAGCACTAGCAGGAGGTCTCAGAGCGTGTCTAATAAGAATGACCCAATATTCAGTTGTAATGGCATTGACTGAAAGCTACAGCATGTATGTAAGCATCAGCAATTTGTAATTTTTTTGTGACAGCATTACTTTAAAGTAAACCTGTCACAAAACAGGTCAGTTCAACCTGATCCAAGAGTATAACTATTTATCAGAACACAAAACTGCACAAAAGATAATCACCTCAGCTGGTTCCTCAACTAATCCCAGTCCAAGATTTTCAGATATAATGAAAGCATTGGCCACCCAGGTGGTGTTGATGTCAGGTACAGTTAGTGCAAAGGTGGATTTTAAGCTTGAGCTGTGAAGCAAAAGTTGAATTCATTAAATTATCTGAAGTACATTAATTTACTAGATACACAATTATTGAAAGAATTACTACCTACAAGAGCACTATTATAATTTATCATACAAGAAATATGTGTGGGGAAAACAACATGTCAGATCCTATTTAGTGTTCAAAAAAGGTGTGATGGAAAAGTCTGTTTGAGTAAGACAATATACAAACTGATGTGCTTATGTATTGTATAAGAAACTTTAAACTTCTAAATTACTCTGTATTTTCTATCCTCCTCTACAAATATGAATGCTGTTTTCAGCTGATAGATTTGCCTTGTTTTATAAATGTAAGGCCAGAAAAGTTTTAATACCCTTGTATACCATCATATTCAAAAGTTATAGGTGATACAGAGAATAATATGGGATGAATTTACCAAAAGCAAATAGGCTGCTCAAGGGAATCTTTGCTTGCAAGAGAATTCTTCCTTAGTTTAGTGAATGAGGTAAAACTTTGCTTATCATTCAATCTTGTTCAAGCAAAAAAAAAATTTTATTGTCTTGGCACATTCGGTTTTGTTTGCAAAGTGAATTTTCATCACAAAGTGAAAATGTCCCATGCAGCATGGACTGCCTATTTGCCTTAAGTAAATGAACCCTAATTTGTAGTGAATGCTTGTGTTTTTACTAAAGGAAAGACAATTTTTGCATTCCAGTGAATGCTGATCCCCTAGTATATCCCCTAGCGAGTGCCCGGACTTTTTTCACTTAGGGGTAAGTGCTATTCTGCTTGAGCTACAACTTATCCATTATTCAATGACAGAGCATCTGTGAAAAATAAAGGTGTTCTTGGGCAAGATTATGAAGACTTTGAAGACTATGAAGAGGTTTACAAAGGAAAAAGGGTTTACTTTAACATACCTTATGTTGGTCTCCAGCCAAGTCCAAATCAATGTAAAAACAGGTTCATTTTGTCTTGAAGGTATCTCAACCATTCTTTCAGCGCGAGGAAAGGAAACTAAACAGAATAAAATGCTCTTTAAAAATATTTATCTCTTTGGGAATCTCCAAAAATGTTTGAAATATGAGAGAACAGAAGTACCAGTACATACTGCTTGGTAATCAGGCTCCAACCCCTGACATTTCCATTTATTTTTTTTTATGCAAAAATGCATATACAGGTGAAACTCGAATAATTAGAATATTGTGCAAAAGTTCATTTATTTCACTAATGCAACTTAAAAGGTGAAACTAATATATGAGATAGACTCATTACATGCAAAGCAAGATAGTTCAATCCGTGATTTGTCATAATTGTGATGATTATGGCTTACAGCTCATGAAAACCCCAAATCCACAATCTCAGAAAATTAGAATATTACATGCAATCAATAAAACAAGGATTGCACATAGAACAATATCGGACCTCTGAAAAGTATAAGCATACATATGTACTCAGTACTTGGTTTGGGCCCCTTTTGCAGCAATTACTGCCTCAATGTGGCGTGGCATGGAAGCTTGTGGCACGGCTGAGGTGTTATGGAAGACCAGGATGCTTCAATAGCGGCCTTCAGCTCTTCTGCATTGTTCGGTCTCATGTCTC